AACTCCTTTATCCATAGCCAAACTATGCTGAAAGAAGGTCTCCATGTTTCCTTTCAGTGTGAGATGGACCGCGAGACCCCGTACGTTCCTGGGGCTCACTTGTCAACTAAGCCTCGTGCTTACGAATTCAACGGTTTTCTAGAAGAATACTCCTCAATCAAACCACTGCTGCATTTAACATCTTACACATAACATTCCTGAAAACTGAACATGGAGTCCTAAGGAACTGGGAGTAACAGTGGAATTGTGTATTACTTTGGTAGCAATCTATAGGTATGTCTTTGAAAAGCAGAGTTCTGACTACATCTTTTCCCCTCTGTTGTTTCTTCACTCAACCTCTCCCCACAAAAGAAACAGTCCCCACATTTGCTGCAGGTGCACCAGAGGCCTTCATTCTTGCCACTCTGGACTCTTCTTTGGGCCATCCTACATCTGGGTTGGGCTGTCTCAATAAATTTTTTTGTTTTGCTTTGGCTTGGTTTGGTTTTTTCAAGACAGGGTTTCTCTGTGTAGTCCTGGTTGTCCTGGAACTAGCTTTGTAGGCCAGGCTGGCCTTGAACTCACAGAGACCCACCTGCCTCTGCCTCCCAAGTGCTAGGATTAAAGGTGTGCACCACCACCTTGCAGCAATAATTTCTTAGCTACTCTCCTGAAATCACTTTCTTCCCAAGCGAACCACCATAATGCTATGCTGTCCAGTTACGGCCATGCTTGCTGACCAAGTCAAACCCCAGAACACCTCAGCAGGGAATTCCAGCTCTCATCTCAACATTTGCTGCTCTTGCAGAGGACCCGAGTTCCGGCACCCATGTCCAGCAGCTCACAGCAGCCTGCAAGTACAGGTCCAGGTGATCTGATCTAAACATGGGTGGCCCCAGTCCATGGGCTGGACTCCCAAACTACATAAAGAGGAGAGAGTGAGCTGAGGCCAGCATTTCTTTTTTTTTTTTTTTCTCTTTTTTATGGTTTTTTGAGGCAGGGTTTCTCTGTGGTTTTGGAAGTTGTCCTGGAACTAGCTCTTGTAGACCAGGCTGGTCTCGAACTCAGAGATCTGCCTGCCTCTGCCTCCCATGTGCTGGGATTAAAGGGGTACGCCACCACTAGCGCCCAGCTTGAGGCCAGCACTTCTCACTGTCGACTTCCTGGCTGTGGATGCAATGTAACCAGCTGCCTGAAGCTCCTGCCACAGTGACTTCCCTACCATGACAGCCTGCACCTCAAATCAAAATAAACCCCTCCTTCCTTAAATTGTTTTTGCCAGGTATCTTGTCACGCCAACAACCAGAAAGGTAAGTGGTATATGCAAATATCTTACTAATGGGAAAAGGGTTGTCATACACCACCATGAATAAGGATTTTAAACTTACTTATTTTGGGTCTCCTCTGCAAATGAAGTTGGCTAAATTTATTCTTCTTCCTTCCATTGTTAGAATATTTGAGAGGCTTATTACATCTTAATCTCTAAACTTTCCTCAAATGTGTCATAAGGTTGTCATTTTCCAGGACTCATTTGTTGAACAACAGATAAATATAAATGTCAGTGAATCTTGACACTCTCAGACCACCAGGTAACATAAGTGAGACTAGCCTACCATATAATCAGAGTGGCAGGAGCCACGGTGGGTCACAAAACAAGGAAACAGATGCAAATGTTGAAGAAGAGCTTACAGAAACAATAGCAAGCCAGTGCCCGGGAGTCAGCCACTTAAACAGCCTCTGACAGCAATGGGCCTACATGTTGTCATTTAGCCTCTGTCTGGGGAACCAATTCCAGGGCTGCCCCCTGAGGGGAAGAAGATCCAGGGTGGCTGAGGAGTTCAAGGGCCAGTTCAGGGTCTGAAGACCCCAGTCAGCTGGAGACCTTTCTAGTGGTGTGTCACTCTTGCTCCCTAGCTGTAGCCATGGGGACCACAGGCCAGATAAAATCCAAGCCTTATTTAAATATAGCATCTGCCTCTTCCTGGACCAGCTTGGCTTATGTTCTATTACAAAAATAAAATAAAAGATTCATTGCTTCTCGAGGCTGGTCCAGTTGGTAGAGTGCTTGTCTAGAGTACACAAAGCTTTGGATTCAGGCTCCAGTCTGCATAAACCAGGTATGATGATACACCATGGCAATGCTAACACTAAGCAGGTAAAGGCAGGAAGAAGATCAGAAGTTCAAGGTCATTATCTTCAACATAGTAAGTTCAAGGTCACCCTGAGTCACAAAAGACCCTGCAATAATTGATGATGATGATGATGATGATGATAAAAATAATCACTTCTAGTCATTCCTACTCAGTAAACACATGATCATTTTGTTTACAGAAAACTCATAGGTTCCCTGAGTCTTTGGGCCCAGGAAGAAGTCATCATATTAAGAAATAACTAACAGGACTGGAAAGATGGCTCAGAGGTTAAGAGCACTGACTATTCTTCCAGAGGTCCTGAGTTCAAGTCCCAGTAATCAGGTAATGGCTCACAACCATCCGTAATGAGAGCCAGTGCCTGCTTTGGGCATGCAGGCATATATTCAGACAGAACACAGCATACATAATAGATATATAATATTTTAAAAATAAAATGAAATAACTAACATTTTTCCTTCTTTTTTAAATTTAAATTAGAAACTAGTTTGTTTTACATGTCAATCCCAGTTCCCTCTCCCTCTTCTCCTCCCGTGTCCCACACACATATACATCACACACACACACACCACACAAGCACATCACACACACACACCACACAAACACATCACACATACACACTCCCACACCACAAACACACACACCACACCACACACACTACACATATACACCACACACACATACCACACTCACACAAACACACACACACACATCACACATACATATACATCACACATCACACACACCACACAAACACACATACCACACACATACGCCACACCCACACAGACATAAACACACCACACACACATATACATCACACACCACGCACACCACACACACAAATACACATACACTACACTCACACAGACATACACACCACACACACACCATAAACACACACACACACAAACACACACACACAGAGCAGTATTCAAATAAAGTTGTTCAAAAGTAAAATATAACTAAATAAAAAAGATATCCCTGGATAGTAGCTCAAAGCATAAGATAAATAGCATTAGTTCATACCATATAAATATTTGAATAAGTAAATAAGTGAATGAGTTCAGAAACAAATTTTTATGTACAATAATTACAAATTTCAGTAGCTACTCACCTTCCTAAGAAGTGTCCAGTAACACCTTGCCCCCAGACTATGACTGCTTTCACAAAATGTGTACACCATTGACAGGGTAGAGGACATAACAGAAATAGCTACAAACGTGCCATATTAGAAATAGCTACAAACATGTCCTCAGGCAGCAATCAAGGCCAATGCCACTCATAAAGTCAGTCTGATCATGTGCCTCTTGTTATGAAGTCAAGGGAATGGCATTTCACCTCGGTGGTTTCCCTCCCCAAACCCATAATCCCAGTCTGTTCATAAGAAGTTGTCAGGAAACCCAAATGATGGGCATTCAACAAAATGCCTAGGCAGTACTCTTCAAAACTGCTGGGGTCATCAGAAACAAGGGAAGTCCTAGACAGGAGAGCCAGCACAGAAGCAGGTTACTACTAAATTGCAAACTGTGATGCGGTATCCTAGACAGGATACAGGCAGAACAAAAGGCAATTAGAAGCAAATGAATTCTGAATAAAGCATGGACTTTACTTAGCAATGAGATACAACATCACAGATGCAACTACTCAGAAGAGCCATGCAATGTGTGGCCCAATACAGCCCTTCACCTTTGTATCCAGAGAAACCAAAGGCTAACACCCCCTGGTATCTCTTTGGGGACATTCCCTATCACCTCTATAACATGTCTGTAAATCTAAAACAAATGAAACTTTTAAATATATAAAACTGGGTTTTAAAAAATACATATTAAGACAAGCAATAGTGGCACACGCCTTTAATCCCAGCACGTGGGAGGCAGAGGCAGGCAGATCTCTGTGAGTTCAAGTCCAGCCTGGTCTACAAGAGCTAGTTCCATGAGAGGCTCCAAAGCTACACAGGGAAACCCTGGCTCAAAAACAAAACAAAACAAAAAATACATATTATTGTGTGTATGAGGTTCAATTCCACAGGACCCAGGAATGGGCAGTAATCACACTCATGAGGGACCACCAGAATTTAATCACCTCCCAAAGAAGCCAGTTCATATCACCATAGCTGGCAGGGATTTTGACACATTAGTTTAAATGATCATAATATTGTTTGAAGATTGCTGTCAAGGAAAGCTGAACTCTACTATCAGGTCAAAATACCAGCCCACTTCAGGTGATCTGGCTCAAATGGATGCATGCAGGTATACCCAGCTTTCTGATATCACAGCAATGGCATGATGCCATCATCTACAAACGCCACTACGGAGAACTGCACCATCAAGTTAGAAAAAAAAATCTCTCCTGTTTCAAGTAATTTTACATATTTGTGTTGGGCTAAATGCATCAACATCATGCAGCCCATGGGCCAGAGGTTAGACATCCATACAGGTTCTAGATTGTCAGCACTCGGCTGCAGGAATCACTTCTTAGACCCACTAGCTCCTATTGGGCACTCTTGGCACCAAAGACCCTGTGTCTGGTAGATTCCCCAATGTCAACATGAGCAGGGACCCCCATGAGTGCAGGATGAAGGCTTTCACTGTAACCTATTAACCTTGTTTGCAACAGGTCTGCAGAAATTACCTCACCCTTAGTCAACACAATCCTATTTCCTCCATTGAGGTGAGTCAGGACACACATGACCAACACATCCTTCTAGGCTCTGGGTAGCTCACAGAGTGAGAGCTGGCCTCCTAGTCCAAAACATCCCAACCAAAAACTACTGTTAGGATATGAAAAAGGAAAAGGTCTCCAAGGCTGCTATATTTGCTTCCTACTGCTTTCCAGTTTGCTGGATGGCTCCTGTCATAGAGTACTCACCCACAGGACAAATACGGGCAACCTAATCAGGTCCTTGTGAGTTTTCTGAAAATGAAAGGTGGCATTCACAGAGAAAGTCCCAGGTTGTCTTTCTTGTCTACTGACAGCAGCACTTGTTCCAAATTTCAGAAGTTTTTCAACACTGAGTATCTGTGAGGGCAGAGAAGAAAGATAAGAGAAACAGATGAGTAACTTGGGAACCCAGGGTTAAGACCAACATCAGATGCATTTAATCATGTGCAGGCAGGTTCATCTAAGGAGTAGCTAACGAACAGCTACTATATAGCAGGCACACATCTGCTCTCATGGAGCTCAAGTTCCTGTGCAGAAATGGCAGCCATTGAAATAACCCAGGGCAAAAGACTAAAACCAGGTGAGGCAATAGACAGATCAGTGTGGCCTGAGATGAGCTGCATTTTACAACTAAGTCAAAATCAGCTACTGACCGACAGAGGCCGAAGGGAATGCAAGTCCACCTGCTTCTCCAGTTAGTCTCCATCTGTGGCCAAGGAGGGAGGAACCTGTGCGGCAAAGAAGTCACCATGAGGGATGAGGCCTGGCATCAGCAACGGGGTAATGCACGAATTAACACCTCCGAGTGACAGGTTCTCAGCCCCGGAATTCGTATTTAAACATAAAAGCCGAGACTATCAAGCAAGGTGGACCAGCCGCCAAGTTAGCTGATTCTGAGCAAGGCACACAGGTCCAGGGGCCTTTTTAGTAAGAACCCTCAGCGGGGGCCAAGCAGGCACTGAGGGTGACCAAAGTCTCAAGGAAACTTCCAGTATACTCGCTTGAGTCCCAACCCCCAGGAATGTCAATTTTATGGGTTCAGATGGGACTTTGGGGAATTTGTTAAGTTCCTTGCTCATTTCTTTAGCAAGACTTTGGAAGTGCTGTGATAGGGAAGAGCTCTTCCTGGGAAAGGGGGGTCAGAGGCACCTACTCTACTAAAAACCCTTAGAATCTGTTATACCTGTTCCAGCAGGGGAAAAAAACGAGAAGAGAATATTGCATAACTGCATTCCAACCAACCACATCTCTAGATTCAAAAGGACCAGGACAGGAAAAGAAAAGAGCTGGGCCCAGTGGAACGGAAGCAGGGAGTGGGAAAGCTCCCGTGTCACACACAGGTAACATGCCTGGAGTGCTGACAAGTGCTTAATAATCAGGTGGGGGAGGGGAGGGCGGCCTCTGCGGTGTTTGCCAGTTTCCATGACGCACATATTCCCAGCTTAGATATTCTCAAGCTACCAATATTGCAGCACTGCAGAACACGCGGCTCGGAAAGAAAGACACGGGACTTACAGCGTTTCTACTATACAAAAACAACGTACTTAAATAATTTCAAAAGACTAGAAAGCAGCAAGTGGAATAACCAGCAAAAGATGGGTTTTCAGAAGTGGTAGCCTTTGTTCTTAATGTGATTGCTTAATATAAATTTAGGAGATTTTAAATTCAGAAATTTTGGTTTTTAGTTTTGTTTATGGGTGTTATGCCTGCATGTATGTCCATGTACCATGTATTCTGTGTCCACAGAAGCCAGAAGAGAGCATTGGATCCTCTGGATCTGCAGTTATAGACAGTTGTGAGCTACCATGTGGGTGATGGGACTCAAACCCAGGTCCTCCAGAAGAGCAGTCAGTGCTCTTAACCTCTGAGCCATCTCTCCAGCCCCAGAAATCTTGACTTTTAATAATGACATGCTTTCACAATTAGCTCACCAAATTCCTGAGAAATAGAAAAACCAATTAACAGAATGAGCCAAGTCTAGCCATTACAAAAGCTTCAAAACTATTGTCTTAAATTGGGTTGTGGTAGCACACATCTGTAATTTCAGCACTTGGGAGACAGAGGCAGGAGACTGGAGTGCAAAGTCATTCTCAGCTACATAGTGAGTTCAAGGCCCGTGTGGGTTATATGAGACCCTATATCAAAAACTAAGAAATCAGTATTATAAAATATTATAATAAGTTTGTACTCCTATACATGTTTATTTCCTTTGGATTATTGCCATTTATATTCCCTAAATCAAAATACTTGCCTATATTAAACATATTGTCAAGTTTCTCTGTGAAATGATCTTAAGGATACTATTCTGCCATGAAATAGTAGAGCGGTTTCTGTTTCCATTCAGATTTATTGACTTTAAGAAGAAATCATATTTGTTTGTTTAGCTTTGGAGGAGAGAGGATTCCCATGCTGGTGACTGAGCCTAGGTCTTCATGCATGCAAGTTAAGTGCCCGGAAACTGAGCTACATCCCTAGTCACAAGCTTTCCCTGCTGTGTCCTGAGTGCGAGCAGTGTGGGTGACTGCTTCAATCCTGCCTACTCCCACCCCATCCCCACCACCCCTGCAATTCTGAATCTAGGGCGGATGCTAAGGTATAGCCTTCCTCTTTTTCAGGAAGACCAAAGCATGAACAAATGGCAGGACACCCAACGTCCTTCTGCAGTGGACACACACATACAACATACACAAGGACACACACACATACAACACATACAACACACACATAGTACAATTGTAAATGAGAAGTTGATACCGTCAGGGGGGGTCTTCTCATGTTTAACATGAAGCTAAACAATGTGAAGAGAGTTTTTTTTTTTTCAACGTAGCTTGAGCTAGCTTACTCTTACATAGACACTACACCCTATTGTCTTTTAATTCTTGAAACATTTGAAAAATACACGTCTATACATACACACACTGGAAAACATCGATGAATTATACTCATTCAATCAAATGCTATGATATGTTTATGGATTAAGAAGACGTAAGTGGAGGTTGGTGGCACACACATGTAATCCCAGCATTTGAGAAGCAGAAGTAAGAGGATAGCCTGGGCAACATAGTGAGAGTCTGTCTCCAAAACAAAGCAGACAAAAAACATTGTCTTCTCCCAGAATATAGACAGCAAGCCACGTAGATGCAAGAATTCCAACACTACCATGATCTCCAAAACCCCACCTGGATACCGGGCAGCATAAAGCAGAAGGGATTTCTGGAGACAGTTCTACTGTAGCTTTTTTTTTTTTTTAGCTAACTTACTGGTTAGGTTTTTGTAGTCAACTAGTGTTATCTGTATAGAGGGACCTCAATTGAGAAAATGTCTCCATCAGACAGGCCTGTGGGGCACTTTCTTAGTGAATGGCCGACAAGAGAGGGCCCAGCCCACGGTGGGCAGTGCTATCCCGAGGCAGGTGGTCCTAGGCTGTTTAATAAAGCAGGCTGGGCCAGGTATTGGTGGCCCATGCCTTTCTGCCTTTAATTCCAGCACTCGGGAGGCAGAGGCAGGTGGATCTCTGTGAGTTCAAAACCAGCCTGGTCTACAGAGTGAGTTCCAGGACAGGCTCCAAACCCTGTCTCGAAAAAGCAAAAGAAAGCAGACTGACCCCAGCTAAGACTCCTAATAGTAGCAGATATGTAGCCTGAACTGGCCATCTCCCCTGGCCAGGCAACTCTTCAAGTAGAGGGAGTGGAACACCAACCTAACCTTCTACATACAGTCTGTTCTACCTATGGGATGTGCTGGGGTAAGGATGGCCTAGAGATGAGGGAGTGGCCAACTAAAACCCATGCCAGGAGAGTAAGCCCACCCCTGACACTGCCTGGAGCACCAGGACCCACAGGCTGAATGACCCAGAGACCTAGGATGGAACCAAACATGACTGGAAGAAAAAAAATGTCAATGTAATGATGCCAAACGATATTATGATATACTCATTGACTGGTGCCTAGCCCAACTGTCATCAGAGAGGCTTCATCCAGCAACTCATAGAAACAGAGGCACACCCACAGGCAAACAGGAGGCAGAGATCGGGAAATCCTGCAGAAGAGGGGAGTAAAGGATTGTAGGAGCCAGGGGCGCCAAGAACATCACAAGAAAACGCCAGAACCAACTGACCTTGGGCTCATGGGGGGTTCACAGAGATGAAATGACAACCAGGGAGCCTGCGTGGCCCTCTGTATTTATGCCACAGTAGTGTAGCTTGGTCCTCTTGTGGGACTTCTAACAGCAGGAACAGGCACTGTCTATGACTCTTTTACTTGCTTTTGGAACCCTATTCCTCATACTGGGTCATCTTGCCCAGCCTTAATACAAGGGGAGGTGCTCAGCCTTCCTGCAACTTGATATGCCATGGTTTGTTGACACACATGGGAGACCTGCCCTTTTCTCAACAGATGGAGGAAGAATGGATTGGGAGTGGGAACAGAGGGGGAGGCTGGAGGAGAGGAGAGAAAGGAAACTGCCACCAGGATGCAAAATAAATAAATTTAGAATAGTAAAAAGAAAAGAAGAAAGAAAGCAGGCTGAGCAAATCAGTAAGCAGCATTGGTCTGTGGCCTCTGCTTCAGTTCCTGCATCCAGGTTCTCGGCTTGAGTTCCTGCCTGACTTCCTCAGTGATGCTATGAAGTGTTTAAGTGGAAACAAGCCCTTCACCCCCCAAGTTGCTTTTGGTGGTGGTGTTTATCACGGAACTAGAAAGCAAACTAGGATACTTAGCAACAGTTTAAACATTAAGATCATTTGAAGACAGCCAGAGCTTTTGCTTTTCCCCAAGCCTGCCCCTTCCTAGGAGTCTCCATCTTTTTACAGACAGTTGCCATAGGTTCTAGGACACAGTCTCCCTCCACTTGGTTCAGCCTTTGCTGTTTTTCTCTCTCCTGTGCCAGTCCTCAGTCTCCGCTTTCCAAAGGAGCTGTCTGTACAAGCCTACTTCGAAAAGAATCACTATTTAATATAAACATTTTCTGTTTTTAATATACAGTTTGCAGGGCCGGTCATGGTGGTGCATGCCTTTAATCTCAGCACTCGGGAGGTAGAGGCAGGTGGATCTCTGTGAGTTGGAGGCCAGCCTGGTCTACAAAATGAGTTCTAGGAAAGTCAAAACTGTTGTTACACAGAGAAACCCTGTCTCTAAAACCAAGTATATATATATAGTATGTAAGCCTTAGCCACAGAACTCTCACTTACCTCTAAAAAACTAAGCAGGCTATTTTTCACTCCTTGCTGCTTTTGGCTGATTTCCCTCTGTATGTCACGGGAAAGACTTCCAACTTCAGATCCCAAATGCTCAAAACTGATTAAGTACAAAATAAGAGCTCCCCTCATCTAGAGGCAAGCCTTGGGCCGTAAAACAAGATGTTCCCTTCATACAGAAGACACCCCCGTGTCACCAGACATGAAGCAGCTGGAGAAGGAGATTGGAAATCTGGGCAACATCCCATAGCCCAGAATCACTGCAAAAGTTCACTCTGGCCTCTTGACACAACCTGGGCTCTTATTTAGCAAACTGGCTCCAGTATGGTCATAACAGTTCTTAAAATACTAGAGTGTGTTAGAGGTGTAGCTCAATTGGCAGAATTTCTAGCATGCTTAGAGCCAGAGTTCAGTTCTCAACACTCCACAAAACCATGACATGGTGAGGAAGGCTCATAATCCTAGCATTTGGAGGTGGAAACATGAGTATCAGAAGTCATCCTGGACTACAAAGGTTCATGTCAAGTTCAAGGCCAGCCTGGACTACCTGTGTGTAGATAGATAGATAGATAGATAGATAGATAGATAGATAGATAGATAGATAGATAGGCAGGCAGGCAGGCAGGCAGGCAGGCAGGCAGGCAGGCAGGCAGGCAGGCAGGCAGGCAGACAGGATAAATTACTCCTCACAGCCAGGAATTGGAGGACCCTGGCCCAGCCGTAGACATAACCCTCCACCAGCAACATGACCATAATCCATTTTGCCTCCTTCTTTAAAAAATGAAGGAGCTGAACTGATTATGTAAGTTGCATGATACTTGTGATTTTTGACATGCTATTTATGCCTAAGAACAAGGACAAAAAAAAAAAACCTAGACTAGAAAGGTGGCTAGTTAGGGAGGTAGAATCCAAGTCTATTCTTTTAGAGAGATAGCAATACAAAAGCTGTAGGGTCAGGTGGCCTGGGCTGGAGCCTCATCTCTGCCTCATGCTAACTGTGGTGCCTCTAGCTGCCTTATCTATGTAAAAGAGACATTTTCTCCTGCTCTCAGTGGTGTCCAAAACCAAACGGACAAGATATAAGTGTTGATTAAACTAATAATGTATCTTGTTTTGTCATTATAATGTTTATTCAATAAATCTAAAACTTGATAAAGTTTCACAATAGAAAAGAAAAATGTGAACCCATGGAACAGCTACCTAACATATGCTGTTGTCAAATAACCCACCACTGAAACATCTGGGACCCAGATTTGCCGGGGCACTGTGAGTTCAGGGGAACACGTCATTATAATGCATTCCCACTGAACCATATGACGCAATCTGTATGATTCCCTTCCTAACCAGAAACGTTCCAGGCTTACCAGAAGCTGAGTTCTGTTTCTCATCTGAACCCTGAAACATCTCTTAACCACACCTTAGCAAATACGTTTTCTGTGTGTTATTGAGACTTAAAGAACTGTCAACATAAAACTTGGCCTCCCATGGGACGGCTTTTCTCCTGCACACAATGACTCAGTTTAAAGACCATATCTCAAATGCCAATTCCTCTAACCTATCTTTAGCATATGGCTGGGGAAACTGCTAAACCCAGCAATTTGCTTCATCAAAAAGGTCTTCGGGTACTAAAATGTGTCATCATCTGGGCTAATGCATGGCATGGATTGGTCCCACTGTACTGCTAAAGGGACGAAGTGATTTCGATTTTTGTTGTTGTTACACATGCAGAGGAGGAAGTACTAAGAATAACTCTCTTCCCTGTTCTCATCTCTAGATAGCTAAACTCACATAGTGCTTCCACCACAAATTCAAATTAGCTTACCAGCTGACCCTCAAATAGGCTTCCTCATCTCATGGAGGCAGGATTTACTAAACACTCTCTATCTGGCTATGCCTTTAGTCACTCACTTTAAATGTGCATGTCTTGCTGATAATGTAGCTCAACTGATAGTGTTTGCCTATCAGGTTAAAAATAGGTACCGTGGTACATGCCTGTGATCCCATCACTCAATGATGGACAGGTATAGTGGTGCATGCCTGTGATCCCAGCATTCAGGGGGGAGGCAGGAAGATCAGAGGCACAAGTCATCTGTAACCAAGTAAGTACAGAGAGGCCAGCCCTAACCACGTGAAAAGAAAAGTGGATATCTTGAGCTAGGAATGATGGTGCAGGCTGACAATTCCAGCACTTGAGAGGTAGAGGCCGAGGCAGAAAGATAGTCATCTTCACCTATATAGTGAGTTCCGGGGTCATACAAGAAATCCTATCGCAAAAATAATGTTTTTCAAGTGCATTTCTTTAAAGCTATGAAAAAATGATACAGCTTCACTCAGTGAGAACACGGAAGCTTGCAATGCAATTGTCAGTCTCAAAGAGTGATTAATCCCATGGAAGGAAAACCGAAGCTTGCAATGCAATTGTCAGTCTCAAAGAGTGATTAGTCCCATGGAAGGCAACTGAGAAGTGCTTTGGGAAAGGAGGGGACAATGATAACACAGTGGTAGACTGGATTGAGGGCAACCAAACATCTTAAATTGTTGAGATGGCAGTCATGAGCATACTTTGACAAAATAAAAGTAAATGTTAAGCTGTCTTAAAATCTGCAGAGGTGGGACTTGAGTGACGGTTCAACAGTTTAGAGTACATATTGCCCTTGCAAAGGCCCTGGGCTCAGTTCATAGCTCCCAGCTTGGGCAATACCCCTTCTGGGCTTCTTAGGCACCGGCACCCATATGCGCATACCCATGCCAGGACAAACATATTCACATAGTTAAATGTGAATCATAAATTATAATAATATAAACCTTTAAAATATGCCGAAGTTTGTTTTGTTTGAGGTTTTGTTTTTTTGGGTTTTTTTTTTTTTTTGAGACAGGGTTTCTCTGTGGCTTTGGAGGCTGTCCTGGAACCAGTTCTTGTAGAAGTTAAAGGTTGATGGATTTTGTCATTGTGATGTTTTTAATTGCACAGGGTTTCGTAAGACCATTTATAAATTTAGATGAAGAAATGCATGCTAAGTGAGCAGGATTCTGCATTAACTATATGCTACTCAGGTAGGTATCAGTAAATCAATAAATCTAAGTGAGCCTGTAGAGAATTTAACATCTGAGTGTGTAAATACTGATGCCAGAAACAAACCAGCAAGGACACCATCTCCTCAAAACCTTCACCACTCACTTTTTATTTGTACAGCTAGTTGTACTGGCTCATAAAAACTGAGACACTAGCTTACATCATTTAAAGGCTGCTTACAAATTCAAGCTACCCTCTGAGTACAAATTCACTTGTGTGTTGAGAGGCACTTACTATGCAAAGAAATTCTTGCATAAATAGTCATACAGAACAGTTCTAACTGGATTCCCTGATCTCTTCAGGCTAGGGAAGCCTGGGAGCAGAGCCACTAACAAACCTCGCTTAAGCATCTGGGAAGTTCCTGGCTAACTATCACCAGGGGCCTTGGCTGATGGTCAGGAGTGGGCCAAGCTGAAATTAGCGGGCCTGGCTGATTAACAGATCTGTTCATTCCAGACCTAGAAATGGTCAAATGCAGATGCTCCTGTGGTCCTTAACATTGTACTTGGATTTTGAGCTTCAGGAAGGATGGCAGTAATCTGAGATTGGGGGAAGGGGGAGGAAGAGTCGACAAAACAGGCGTGGCAGGTAGCCCCAGGGTAATGGGAAAGGCCCCGGGCAAAATCCTAAAAAGTCTTGATCTGTGAACCCAGCCCTTGAGAGGTGGAGGCAGGAGGAGTCCTTACCCTCGGCTACATAGCCTTTAAGGGCAGCCTGGGCTACAGAAAACTTAGTTTCACACAAACAGTCCTATGGCTGGGAGGACCTCACTGACCAGAGAACTCAGTCTCAACTATCTTGGGTCAGAGCTTAAATAACAACCCCCTTGAACACGCCCTGCTCTCCGTTGCTACCCTTGTCCCTGCTCCACTTCCACACTGCACATCTTTGGCCCCAGGCAGCAGCTGTGTGGCTAAGCGCCTGGGACTGTGCTTCAGCTGGACGCTAAACCGCTGGAATGCAACACTTCCTGGTTGGCCCGGGATGTTGGTGCCATCGCCATCCCAGGCAGCCCACAGAGCTAACCAGCTCAGAGAGCGCGAGACGAGTCAGTGGGAGCGTACAGATGCCCTGCACCGCAGCCCGAGGAAGTGGGGTGGGGTGCATCCTGCAGAGTTCGCCCGGGATCTGCAGGGACTTGAGGATGCAGTAGGTCTAGGACACCAGCAGCTGACCCGGCTCTGCACTCAGGGCAGCGGTCCTCGCCTGCGGCCGCGGTGTGAGCAGCTCTTGCCAGCCAGCACAGACATAGCAGGAATTAAGGCTACGGAGCGGGTGTGAGTGAGTGTGTGTATATGTGTGTGTGTGTGTGTGTGTGTGTGTGTGCGTGTGTGTGTGTGTGTGTGGGGGGGTTCCGGGGGACCTCCAGGGACGCTGCAGCTGAGATCAGCTCAAAGAGGGCCAGGAAAGGCGGGACGAAGGAAGTGGGTCAGGACGCCCTGCGGGCTCGGAAGCCCCGCAAGCCTGGTCCCCGTGGCTCCTACCTGCGGGCCTGGGGAACGGGCACACACGCTGCAGCGGAGGTGGCGGCAGCTTCGGGGTCCCCGCGCAGCTGGCGCAGCTGGAGCCGCTGGAGGAGGGGAAGGCGCGGGGACTCGCCGCCCGGAACTCGCCAGCCTGTCTGCTGGATGGGGCGGGGCGGCGCCGGCCAGCCGCGCGGTGACAGAGCCTCTGCTGGCCTTCCTACAAGCCTTGGGTCTTACAATTTCTTCTCCCCAAGTTTCCTAACTCAGCCGCAGTTATCCGCGGGGCACACGCTAGCGTTACTCTTACCACGTTCACTTCCTTAATCTCTGAGGCCAGTCCTTGTCTATGACATCTAGTCTCCATGAGTATTACAAGCCAACAGCTAGCCAACTGGTGAAATATTCTTGGCCTGAGTGACATACTTAACTAGGGGCTTCGTGGAGGTCAACTGGGACCTTCTTGCAAAGCCTTTGGTAGGTGTTATGACCTGTTTACAAGCAAGGAAATTGAGTCTGGAAAGAGTGAAGTAGCCAGCCTGGTCGGAGAAGCCAAGATTGCAGAAGACAGGAATCACCTCTCCAGCGCTCTCTCTTCCTCCCTGCCCCCCACCCTGCTGTGTGTGTGTGTGTGTGTGTGTGTGTGTGTGTGTGTGTTTTGAGTGTGAGTGTGTATGTGAATGTGAGTGTTGTGTGACTGTGTGTGAATGAGTGTGTGTGTGCTGACTGTGAGTGTTGTTGAATGTGAGAGTGTGAATGTGTGTGTGAATGTATGAATGTGTGTCTGTGTTTGCTTGGGTTAGGTTGGTGGTTTTGGCTTTTTCTTTTGTTGTTGTCGTTGTTTTTAGACAGGTCTCTGCTATATACCTGGCTGGCTTTGAAGACCAGGTGGAGCTCAAACTACATGATCCCTGTCTCAGTTACACACTGTCCTCACACTCCACACTTCTCCATTCCCCCTTACCATCAGTACGGGGTCTAATTCAGAAATCTTAATGGGAAAAATAAAACCAAATGGAAGGAAACCATGAGAAATTCCCAGTACACCTATGGAATTGTCTGAATAACAATTTTGCTATTTATCCCACTTAAGATAGTCATCATCACAAGAAAACCAGTGCCCATGTGGTTTGAATAGAAACCCTTTTGGAACATAATTTTGAGTACAGGTCGGTTCCAAGTTGGTTGCACAACACTGCATCCAGCAATACCGAAAGATGCAATGATCCCCTGTACATCAAACCACTAATGCCATTGGCCTTTTGAAACGGTTTATTGACTATTACACAGTGAGACAGACCCAGTTACATAATGTCTTACTATGCCCATGGCACTGCATGAAATGAAAAATGTAACATTTCAGTCCAGACAGAGGAGGAGATGAAACTACAGTGTGGACTTGGTTTCCTGTAACCTGCAACTGCCCAGCCCCTCCCTAGCTCCATTCTTCTCTTTTGAGCACATTGCTCCTGATGATCCAAGAGGCATGCAGCCATCACTCTTTCTTTGTTGACATAAATAATTGATGTCTTTTGAGTCCTGTGGTCCTCACAGATTTTTGCAATTATGTGCACAGCCTTCTGAGAAACACAGTATTGCCTAAGGGGAGTTTGGCAAGATTATGACAAGCATGTAACTGAAAGGCGCCCTGACCCTCCTTCCTCCCTTTCTCCGCTTTACTAGTCTCAGTGATTTGACAAGCACAGGCCTAGGAGCTGCTGCACTCTTCCAAGCTTGTCTTTAGATGATGGGAGACGTTTGGTTGAGAAGCACCAACTGTAAAATTACATCCTGATTTCTTAAAGTCGTCCTTGAAAGGTTTGGCATTGCTACATAACAATAGGTCTTTCTGGTAACTGTAACTGTAAGACAAGTACTGTATAACAACCAGAATTCTGCCCCACCCCCAGGTGTCAGCCATCAGGGAAGTGAAGCTGTAGCTAACATAAATTTTAGACATTCTAGAATTCCATAGGTCGTTGCTCTTGTCCTCTGAGATTTTACGATGGTTATTTCTTTTCAGGGATGTCAGGGTAAAAACGACTAAGAAAAGCCTAGAAGGCTTCCTTTGAGAGCCGGGAGTTGGTGGCACACGCCTTTAATTCCAGCACTCAGGAGACAGAGGCAGGCAGATCTCTGTGAGTTCGAGGCCAGCCTGGTCTACAGAGCGAGTTCCAGGACAGCCTCCAAAATAATACAGAGAAACCCTGTCTCGAAAAACGGGGGGGGGGAAAGACTTCCTTGAGTTTGAACCAGCCTGGCCTACAAAGTGAGACCTGTCTGGGTGGGGGGAGACTAATAAATTCTGTCTCATCTACAGGTATGTGAGGACATTTCCAGGATGGTTTTATGTTATAGGAAGACCTGCTATGAATGTGTGGCAGTATTCCCTGGGGTCCTGACTGAATAGAATGAGAATTGGAGTTGAATGCCAGCTGTCATCTCTCTCTGCTTCCAGATTTCAGGGCAATGTGACTATGCCACCATGCCTTCCCCGCCATGATGGACTGTGCACCTCAAACTGTGAGCTGGGATGAATTCTTCCACTTTTCAGGGGCTGCTTGGCAGGTGACATCAAGGAGATAGGCAACTAGTGCACACATTTATCTCAGAGTTGGTGGTTTTAATCACATACATTTTCTTTTCTAAATCTTTTAAAACTTTATCTTTTCTTCTGAATATAAAAGTTACATATATTTACTTCATAATGTTTGCATTTGTATTTTGCAAAAATATAAAGTTTTTTGGAGACCTTATGAACAATTTTAATGAAAAAAATATTTTTAATGTACAAAAAGACTGACAAGCTGAGCATATCATCTCAATTTATAGCATATAGAAAAAGACTAAAACTGTTTGGTAATATAAATTTGACTGGATGATTTACATACAGTGTATTCAGGGATAGCACCATCTACACAAAATAAATATCGATGGAGAATGGGAAGTTTAAGATCTATCTCAGACCATGACCTCTGTCTTAGTTAAAGAGTTTTATTATTGTGAAGAGACACCATGACCACAGCAACTCTTATAAAGGAAAACATTTAACTGGGGCTGGGCTTCAGAGGTTTAGTCCATTATCGTCATGGTGGGATGCATGTCAGTACCCAGGCAGCCATGGTGCTGGAGAAGGAACCAAGAGTTCTACATCTGTTTTGATAGAAGACAAAAAGAGAGAAAGCCACTGGGCCTGGTCTGAACTTGAAACCTCAAAACCCATCCCTAGTGACATGCTTCCTGTAACAAGAACAAGGCTACAAGTCCTAATCCATTCAAGTAATGTCACTCCCGATGAGCCTTTGGGGGGACGTTTTCACTCAAACCATCACATTCCAATCCCTGGTCCCCATAGCCTAGTGGCTGTATCATAATGCAAAATGCATTTAGTCCAACTGCAAAAGCTGGACGAGTATTTAAAAGTCCAAAGTCTCTGACACTCATGGCAATCTCTTAACTACAGCCCCCTATAAAATCAAAGTGAAAAAACAGATCACATACTTCTAACATACAATGGCATAAGATAAACATTACCATTCCAAAAGGGAGGAAATACTGGACTGAAACAACAGAACTCCAAACTTAGCATCTCATGTCTGATGTCAGAGCTCTCTTCAGATCTCCAACTCCTTTCAGTGTTGTTAACTGCAACACACTTCTTTCTCACGTGCTGGTTCCCCTCCCTGTTAGCAGCTCTCCTTAGCAGGTATCCCACAACTCTGGCATCTCCAACATCTTGAAGTCTCCAAGATAATCCAGGCTTTACCTCCACAGCTTCACACAAAGGCTTCTCCAGACCTCCATGAAGGGACATCCCTGACTCATGCTTGGCTTCAGCAGCTTTCCTTAGCCATGGAGAGAGACTCCATCAGCTCTTTCTTGAATCCTTGACTCTAAAGCCAGAGCCAACATGGCAGAAGCTGCCAACTTCCATTGCTTGCTGGGGCTGGAACATGGTCCTCTTGCTCAATTAAATCTTCACCAGCTTTGTTTTCCATGGGTTCCATCACTGCCTAGGTTTGGCTGTTCTGGAACTGGATCTGTAAACCAGACTGGCCTCAGACTTAGAGATCTACCTGCTTCCATCTTCAGAGTGCTGGATTAAAGGCGTGCACCACCACACCCAGCTCTAAACTTTTCTTTAATTCCTTTTCACAAGTTGGAAACTTAGCTGGGTGGGATCTTACCTTGAGGTCGCCACTCCTGTTACTCCGTATCTTAATCTGTCAATCTCCTTGAACACAGGATTTAGCTTCATGCCACTTTCTGGTGCTCTTTTTCTCCTCAAACTTTATATTTTCCTGTTCTTTTTTATTATAAATCTGTATAAGAGTGACCACTAATAACCACACAACACCGGGCGTTGGTGGTATATGCCTTTAATCCCAGCACTTGGGAGGCAGAGACAGGCGGATCTCTGTGAGTCCAAGACCAGCCTGGTGAGTCCAAGAGCTAGTTTCAGGATAGCCTCCAAAGCCCAGAGAAACCCTGTCTCAAACACACACACACACACACACACACACACACACACACACACACACAAATGAATAAATATAAAAAGATTGACCACTAATAACCTCACAACAGAAGCTGGTTTGAGATTTCCTCCGACATTGGAATTAATCCAAATCTCTTGACTTTTGCCTCAGGCAGACTCCTAGGACAAGGGCAAAAAAACAGTCACTTTCTTCACCAAAAATATCACAAGAACAATCTCTAGGCAATGTACTAAAATCCCCTCTGAAACATCTTGATCCCCCCACACACACACACAGTACATCCGATCACCCTCAGCACCACTGCCTTCTATGTTCCTATTAGGATGACCCATGGAGCAGCACTTAAAGAGTTCAACTGTTTTTCTAATCCAATCTCCCAAGGTCCATATTCCTGCAAACAAAAGACTGTCAGATCTATCACAGAAATATCTAAGTCCCTAGTAATAGGTTTTCTGGCTCCCAATAATAGGTTTCTCCATTGAGGAAGTCAGCCAGATCAAGCCTAATTGAAAAAGTGTAACAACAGGTTGTTTTTTTTTAAGCAAAGAAACTCCCAGGTGGGTTCTCTAGTCCCAAAGATCAAGGCCAGAGAAGTCACATGCCCAAACTAAAGCAGGGAGATTATGCAGCTTGTAGGTGAGGGCTGACGATGTGACCACC